TAGCTCCAGCAACTTCGGAGTGACTGCAACTACTTGTTTCTGAGTATGTACAGTTAGAAAGTCCAGTTTCCTTTCCACTACACTGAATGTCATTTAAATGGATTGTGCCTGTACCTCCAAATACTGAATTTAAAACAACTAGTCCGCGTCTTGTAAAAGAAAGCATAAAATAAATAGCATGTATTGATAAACGTTAAAGTTTGTAAATAATAAAATACAAGGAATTTAGCATTATAACTTTTGATTGCAACTTTCAGAGCATTAAAAAGAATATGCTCTACTTCATATAACTTTGTTGCTCTGGTTTTGAAAGAACTATTTCCAATATTTGTAGAATTTACCTTGTATGCATTCCAATACGATAATTTTGTAAAATAGCTTTAGTTAGCTAACGCTTATTTTGATACTCTATATAGTCGTTATGCAAAGGGACTATGGATATTAATTATTTGCGGAGAGAATGTTTGTGGGCAATCAAAGTTTAACTCTTGATACAGAAGGTTAAAAAAATACTAAACTAACTAAAGTTTATATAAATTGCCAAAATTCTCCTCTTGATAGTCTTGTTTCGTAGACCTATAAGGTTGACCTGCGAATATACCCTGAATCTTGCATAAATATTGGACAGCTGTTGAATTACTCCTTCCTCAAAATTTTCTTTTTATTAATTACCTTTTCGGGTATATAGAACATCAGATGTTTATTTAGTTTTGCAGAAATATTATTTTCCAATCAATTTATTCTTGCTAATATATCAATAAGAAAAGCAAATAAATATTACCTTATATCCCCATTTATTGGCTAAAAAATTATGGTTATTCTCATAACCGAAAAATTATTTTTAATTAATATTTTCCTCTTCTAAGTATGTCCTATTTTAAGAGAAGAAAATATTCTCTGTAATAAATTTAGTTGACTTTCTTTAAAATAAAGCTATTTCAACTTACTCGCTATACCCTAGAGATCTACAAATGACGCTAGCGTCTTTATAGTCCCAGTTCCTGCCACAAATTGTCCCCCATCTATTGTTCTTGTAAACTTCCACTCTTCCTTGAAAGTCCTTTTGTTTCGAAAGTCGAACACGGGGTGCTGCAAATTCAAAATGAATAAAAAAAGAAAGAAAATATGAAAACCATCTATCCTTCTGTATTCAATAATCCAGAAGTGAAAAAAGAATAAGATTATATGATATTACAGAAAAAGCGGTTAACAATATTTTCTTTGTTTGTAAGGCTCAAAATATAAAAAGTATTTTGGAGGAACTTTAATTCTACAAGTAAAATTCCAACCTATATTCATATTTCTTTATCTAAGGAAGAAATTCTTCAAAATTAATGTCAATTTTGAATATTTTTAATATATTTAATACACAAAATGAATCTGTATGACATGTCAAACGTTGCAATATTAAAATTTTCCGTTTGTAGTGTATAATTTCTTTTTGCATTGTAAAGTTTTTCATTTGTATTGTATAATTTTTATTGTCTAACTGTCCGTTTGGTTCCATTTTCATATGTATGGTATAGTTTTCATTTGCATTGAAAAAATAATTGAAATTGCATAATTTTACGTTTTAATTCTATATTTTCTATTCGCATTATATATTTAATTAATTTGTTTTGTTATTCGTATTCTTTGTATTCCATAATTTGAATATCCATTTCTTTATTTCCTAAGAGATCAATTTGTTTTACCTTTCATGCACATAACACCTGCATCTTCACTATGACTGCAGCCAAGATTTAGTTCATCTGTATGTCCGCAATCCAGTAGGGAATTCTCTGTACCATTGCATCTCACATTAGACATAAGTATTAAACCAGTTCCAGGTCCAAAGTATGCGTTACTGTACGGAATTCTGTTTTGAAATAATTGCTCTTTGTATATTTGCACTCCTCCTTGTAATTATGTTCATTTACTATATGCATGACTGTATTAACACAACAATAGTTAAATCATTATGTTTATCACATAATGTAATAAATAAGGCTACCCTGGTATATACGAGGATTTGTCCCAAAATGTCCAAGAAAATGTTCATAACATTGAAAACATTCAACCAATTTTTACCAAACTTTGCATAGCCATAATTAAGTAAATGTTACCCAAATAGTTATTTTTTCATAGTATCGATATTATGACGATTCAAAAGAGGGCCACATGAGGTCTGTCAGAGCATGAACAAAATCGAGAATAATATAATAATACATGTCATTAATGCAATATTTGAGATAACCGTTTCCATTAAAATTCTATGCAAAAAAAAATGGTAACACTATAGCACTTTTCTTCTATTAAAATCTTTCATAACCAAATCATGATTAAAATGCAAAATCATTGTTTAAAAAAAATGGAGAACACATTGTATAAAACAATGGAATGGTATAAAGTTGTTTTGGGGTAATTCAGTTTTAAATGATGCAGATATTAAGATTTTAAAAAATTAAGAAATTTCACTTCTGTACAATGTATGATTTTTATATTTCTTCTTCAGTGCTTTTGCCTTGAGAAATCTATACAATCTAAGATTACTTCATTATACATTATTGAGAATTTCCTGCTCATCAAAAGGTATTACTATATATATATATATATATATATATATATATATATATATATATATATATATATATATATATATATATATATATATATATTTATATATATATATTAAGACCTCTTTAAATTCTTATTTTCAATATTTTATTTCATTTGTAGTATCCCTAAAAAGTTGAAATGTGACAGTCAAAAAGAAAAATAATGGAATATTTATACATTAACATTCATATATATATATATATATATATATATATATATATATATATATATATATATATATATATATGGAATTGCGTGTTATATATATAGCCACTTACCCATCTAATCCGAATAGTTGTTTACAAACCACATTTGCATCGTTAAAATCCCAACCATTGTCACACACTGTACCCCAGACTCCATCTTTGTAGACCTCCACCCTTCCTTCTCTTGAAGATTTGCCATTTACAAGTCGAATTTCTATGAATTAATTAATACCTCAGAATTTCGAGCATTAGATAACAAGAAACTTCAACTTCAGATATTTTCTTGTGGAAGGTAATCATGGCATAGAATTTCCAAATATTGCAGTTAAACTTTTGTATAGTTATTTTCTTGTAATATGTGAATAATTGAGAAATTAAAAACAGTAGCTGGAATTTAAGATAAATTTGATATTAATCATAACAAACTTATATACCCCTCCTTGATCAAAGGTAAGATTTCTTGTGTAAAACTTTGATCTCTTATTGTTAGGCACACACTACCTCTGCGGAAATGATTTGAACAATTTTGAAAATACACACCGTTAAAAATATTCTCCGTTTCTGTCTCAATTTTAAATTTTTTTTTTATTTTTCCTTCCCCAAATTCCATTTTGATTTGAGCCACTCACATGTCCGAAGATCATGATTCGAACAAAATACAATCTAATCAATGTCTGGAAGCTTTCATTTAAAGTTTATATATATTGATTCAATACTTCTTGAGAGGAAGATTTTTTATAAATGATTTTTAAAGTCTTCTTTCTATATATTCATATGCACAAACTCGACTCCTTATTGTGCTTCCCTACCCTGAACCGGGGAACATAATTTATACAAATAAATATCTACAATACGTACTTTCTTTGGGTTTCACTATTTCTGTCCCAATGTACCTGTGATTTAAGTGATTTTTTTTTAAATAAATCGATCATATTTTGGTCTTTTCTTGATAATCCATTATTGAAAAGCAGACTTTTGAATAATTCGTTCTAATAATATTTCCTGTAGGAATGAATTATAGTACGAAGTGTGAAAAACGTGACGTCATTACGATCTCCAAACTGGGAGCAACCCAGTTCAATATGGCTACACCATCCAAGGCCACACCCTACAGCATGTTAACAACACTAAGTACCTGGGAGTAACCATCAACAGGAAACTGTCTTGGAACAACCATGTAGACAGTGTAACCAATAAGGCGAATCAGACCCTAGCCTTTCTCAGACGAAACATCAATATGTGTAACAAGGAGACTAAGGAGCAGGCTACAAGACCTATGTCCACCCTACTCTGGTGTACGCATCTACAATCTGGGATTCCCACACTGCTGGAAACATCAATGTGGTTGAGATGGTACAACGACGTGCTTCTAGATTTGTGACTGGAATATACCATCGCACAAGTAGCGTATAAACGATGCTGAACGCTCTTTCATGGGAAACCCAGAAACTCCGCAAAACAAGAGCAAAGGGAATCATGCTCTGATACACGCTGGCAGTTGCACCCGAGACCATACAGCAAAGTTTCTCATCTCACATGCCAGATTACAACCCTATCAGTACTCCTTCTTCCCAAGCAGCATAAGGCTTTGGAACATCCCCCCTCCCCCGGCTGCAGTGTCCCAAGTAAACTCGCTGGAAGCCTCAAAGCAGAGCCTGGCAGTTCCTGTAAATTCCTTGTTTTTTATTGTAAATACAGCGCCCTGTGTGTCACGATTGCACCTTTTAAACCATAGTGCGAGTATACTTGAATACCGAGGAATGCATTCACAGTATCTCTGGATAAAGGGGATTCAAGTTCAAATAAAGGGCCACGCCCTCTTTCAAAGTTAAATAATTTTGAATTAGTGAAAAATTAATGGCATTTTTTTTAAATCTTCTTCTCAAGAACCACTGGGCCAGAAAAGATGACACTCCTGTGGAATCATCCTTAGGCAATGTATATTAAAGTTTGTTCAAAACATGACCCCCGGGGATAGGGTGGGGCCACAATGGCCGATCAACATTTTCCCTAGGAATATATCAGAAAAATCTTTAAAAATCTTCCGAAGAACCACTGTGCCAGGAAAGATAAAACTTATTGGGAATCATCCTCAGGTAGTGTGCATTCAAATTTGATTAAATCACGACCCCCGGGGTAAGGGTTGGGCCACAATGGCCGATCAAATTTTTACATAGGAATATATAGGAAAAGTCTAAAAATCTTTTTCTCAAGAACCATTGGGACAGGAAAAATGAAACTCATGTGGAATCATCCTCAGATAGTGTACATTCATGTTTGTTCAAATCATGACCCCCGGGGAAGGGTGAGGCCACAATGGCCGATCAAAGTTTTACATAGGAATATATAGGAAAAATATTTAAAAATTTTCTTCTCAAGATCCATAGAGACAGGAAATATAAAACTCATGTTGAATCATCCTCAGGTAGTGTACATTCAAGTTTGTTCGAATCATGGCTCCCGGGGGTAGGTTTGGGCCACAATGGCCGATCAAAGTTTTACATAGGAATATATAGGAAACTCTTAAAAAATCTTCTTCTCAAGAACCACTGGGACAGACAAGACTCAGATAGTGTACATTCAAGTTTGTTCAAATCATGGCCCCTGGAGGTAGGGTGGGGCCACAATGGCCAATCAAAGTTTTATGTAGGAAGATATATAGGGAAATCTTTTTAAAAAATTCTTCTCAAGTACTGCAAAGCCATGATTAGTTATATTTTAATGGAATTATTCATGAAGATTTTAGTTTGTTCAAATCATTACCCTCCAGGGACAGGATGGGACCACAATGGGGGATCCAAGTTTAACATTGAAATATATTTTAAAAAATATTTTTTTCTAAAGAATAGCAAAGTCATGTTTATTGATATTCATATGGATGCATCCTCAGGTAGTATAGAATTAAATTTGTTCAAATCATAACCTCCAAGGGTAGTGAAGGGTCTCGATGGTGGATCAAAGTTTTACATAGTAAAATATAGGGAAAATCTCAATCACAGAAAGCTATGTTTTCATATTGACATGTAAGCATCCTCATGTATTATTATTAATTTGCAAGTTAGAATTTACAGTAGGATTCATGACAGAAAACTGACTAAATTCCTTTTTTCTAATGTTAAATATTTTTTCTCAAAATGTTGAAAATCTAGAAGCTTTTTGTGTATCTAAGAGTCAATGTTTACATCCTTACGAAAACACTTTACATAAACAGAATTTTTTCTAAAATAATACACATCTTGTATAACCAGTTAATATTTAAGCACCACTTAATGGTTAAATACTCACTCGGTTTTAAACACCCTGCTTCCACTTGTTTCTGCAAACTCTCGATTAAACGCTGTTGTTCTAGAATTTGTTGCTTCATAATCTTGATCTCTGTATTGTGGGCTCTAACCATTGCACTCAGTCCTCTTACAGAGAAAGAGCTTTTAGAGGTAGTACTTTGATTTTCAACTGCCACAATTGATAATACAAACACCAGTAGTTTACATATATCCATGGTGCTGAAAACACAATGTGAAAATTAAGAGGGGTTTTTTGCCTTTATTGCTGGCAAGGACAAGTATAAAAAATTTCTAATACGAAGGTTCGTGGAAGATTTCAATCCTCTTTATATTACTCAACAGTAAAAATACTTGTTTTGTTGATTCGTGAAGTTTCAAACCATTCGATTTAACATAAATTAATTTACTTCATTTAAAAATCAACATGCTTTGTACCCGCGGAGCACATTTTACGGCAATGTAACGTCAAAACATAGCGTCAAGAATTTCTTAAGAAATAAGGTATCATTTTAGCTCACTTCAGCTAAAGGCTCAAGTGAGCTTTTCTGATTAAAATTTGTCCGTTGTCTGTTGTCGTCGTTGTCGTCGTTAACTTTCCACATTTTCTACTTCTTCTCAAGAACCACTGGGCCAATTTCAACCAAACTTGGCACAAAGTATCCTTAGGTAAAGGGAATTCAAGTTTGTTCAAATGAAGGGCCACACCCTCTTCCAAGGGGAGATAATTGTGATAAAGTGAAAAAATAATGGCATTTTTAAAAAATCTTCTCAAGAACCACTGGGCCAAGAAAGATGAAACTCATGTGGAAGCATCCTCAGGTAATGTAGATTCAAGTTTGTTCAAATCATGACCCATGGGGGTAGGGCGGGGCCACAATGGCCGATCGAAGTTTTACATAAGAGTGTATAGGGAAAAAGCTTTAAAAATCTTCTCGAGAACCAATGGGCCAAGAAAGATGAAACTCATTTGGAAGCATCCTCGGGTAGTGTAGATTCAAGTTTGTTCAAATCATGATCCTCGGGGTAGGGCGGGCTACAATGGATGATCAAAGTTTTACATAGGAATATATAGGAAAAATCTTTATAAAAATCGTCTTCTCAAGTACTTCAAAGCCATGATTAGTGATAGTATAGGAACAGAATGTTTTTTTAAAATCTTTTTATCAAGAACAGCAAAATCATATGCTGCATTAATATGATGGCATTCTAAAGTAGTATTTAATTCAAGCCCCCCCCCCCCCCCCTTCAGTAAACTTTTCAGTTCTGATCTGATTTGTGTTTTTTCCTAGATGATTTGCTCAGGTGAGCGATATGGCCCCTGGGCCTCTTGTTAAAGTCTTATCGGGATGTGAAACGGGTTGGCACATGATCAAATCTTCCATTAAGTCTTTCGGGCTTTATGGGATTTGATCACGTGACCAACCCGTTTTACATCCCAATAAAACTCAAAAAATGAATCCTTATTACTTATAGTTACATTTGTGACTTATTCATACTTTAAATTTGCCTGATTGTGACTTTTAACGTGTGAAATGATTTTTTTTCAAACCCAACGGCATGTATGTAATCCACTGAACTCGCGTCGACCCTTTATGACTAAGAAATTACGTCGAACGTTTATCCATACGCACATCTATGACCTCTTGACCCCGTAACTGTATTTATAAAGTTATAAATACGCTTGCTTTCAGTAGTGGTATATAAAGGAAACCATTTGCAAATGTAAATATCAAAAAATACTATTCCTATACAATTAACACAGTATAATACAATGCCAATTCAATAAATCCTTTTTCTAATACTTGACGCTATTTTTTTAAGAACTGCTCTCGTTGTACAATTTCCTTAGTTAAGGTTTTAATTTCTTTATAACGTAACCCTGCTTTCACAGGATAAGCAACTCTGAAGCGCCTATGTCTTTTCTTGACGTTCAAACTTTTTTAAGTTTTGTTCAGAATTATACAGTTAAATCGTTTCTTCACAGATCATCCTCATCCGATACAGAGTCTCTGTCACTCAAATGCTGTCTGTATTATTTGTACACACATGCACAACTTGCTTCTGACATATTTTCTTGAATCCTCAAACATATTTAGAGTTTATTCAGGATTTTTCCTGAGTAAAACACAAAATTGCATCGTTATCCGCTGCTCCGTGACGTTCTAAAACGTTATCGTTTTTGACGTTTTAAATAAGGACTACCTATCTTCTCAAGTTGATTTCTTTTTAACATAGCAAAATTTTATACCTTAATTTGGTACACGAATCGATGTAATAATTCTTATTTCAATATCTCGGTTGTTTTTCGTTTTTCTTCCATTTTACAGAGAATATGACAACAGATATTATTATCCTTCAGAATTATACGGTCAATCTGATTGATTTAGAGCAGGTCACGTGCAGGGAGACAGGTCGTGATGTCTCCCTCACGCGCAGGGTGACAACTGTTTACTCCCTTCTGATGACAATGAAATAGCGTAAGCGAACATGCAAGGTTACAACTGTGTTGTCGCCCTGTGAATAAAACTACAGTGGTTTAAGCGAGATAACTCCTATTTATAAGTACAATGGATAAATATGCGGGATCAGTAAACAAAAAATTCTAAAAATGACGTCAAAGTTGTGCAGAAGGATAAAACGTACGCTTAACTAGGACCTCGGGTCCCCAGCAAATAGTTTGTAATTTTGCGTAGTAATAAAACATTTTAGGAACTCTTCAGGCATTAAAGGTAAAACAGTAAATTCATTGATATCAATACGGAGACGTCAGATCACCTTTTATTTTAAATGAATTTTATATGATAGACATTTTTCTTTGTCTTACTACAAAATAATCATATTTATAACTTTATACAGATCTACTTTCTAATATGTATATTAGCAGAAACGTGGAAGTAATTAGGGGGAACAGAGGTAACCTTATATTATAATGTACATCAGTAGGGAGACCAGTGGTCACCTTTCCTTACTATTATATTGTACATAATTAGAGGGATCATAGGTCACCTTACATTTTAAATTAATAGAGGGCCAAAGGTAACCTTTTATTGAACAGCATAAGGCGGACCAGAGGACACCGTATACTGTACGTCATTAGGGGGATCTTAGGACATCTTATATTATACATCAGTAGGGGGGCCAGAGGACACCTTATATTGTACATCGGAAGAAGGACCAGTGGTCACCTTACATTGTACAGTGCTTCAGTAGGGGACTAGAGGTCACCTTTTATTGCACATCAGTAGGGAGACCAGAGGTTATCTTATATTGTACATCAGTAGGGGGACCAGAGGACACCTTATATTGTTCATCAATAAGAAGACCAGAGATCACCTTATATTGTACATCAAATAGGGAGACCAGTGGTCACCTTATATTATACATCAGTAAGGAGACCGGAAGTCACCTTATATTGTACATAAAATAGTCACCTTGTATTATACATCAGTAAGGACACCAGAGGTCACCTTATATTGTACATAAGCAGGGGGCCACAGATCACCTTATACATGTATTGTACATTCAGTAGGGGGACGAGAGATCACCTCATATTGTTCATCACTAAGGGGGCCAAGAGGTCATCTTATACTGTACATCAGTAGGGGACAAGAGGTCATCTTATATTGTTCATCAGCAGGGGGACCAGAAGACACCTTATATTGTACATCATAAAGGAGACTAGATGTCCACTTATATTGAACATCAATAAGAAGACCAGAGTACACCTTACATTGAACAACAATAAAGAGACCAACAGTCACCTTATATTCTACAGTACATCAGTAGGGGACCAGAGGTCACTTTATATTCTACAGTACATCAGTAGGGGACCAGAGGTCACCTTATATTCTACAGTACATCAGTAGGGGGACCAGACGTCACCTTATATTGCACATCAGTAGGGGGACCAGTGGTCACCTTACATTGTACAATACTTAAGAAGTGGACCAGAGGTCACCTTATATTGTACATCAGTAGGGGCACCAGATGTAATATTATATTGAACATCAGTAGGGGGACCAGAGGACACCTTATATTGTACAGTACATCAGTAAGTGGACCAGAGGTCACCTTATATTGTACAGTATAATCAGTAAGTGGACCAGAGTTTACCTCATATTGTACAGTACATCAGTAAGGGGACCAGAAGTAACCTTATATCGCATATCAGTAGGGGGCCAGAGGTGACCTTATATGTAGAACTTTTTCCGTGTGGTATTAATTAACGCTATGTACAACGTAACTTATTTTCCGCGGAAATCTGTCCAAGCGCACTTGATATAAAAATTATAATGCATATAGTGACAGTCTAAGAAATCCGCGTTATTTTCTACGCAATGTTTAAACAGAAATTAAGATTTTGCGGAAATATGACCCCGTGGAAAAAAGTACGTCTACAGAATGGTACATAAGTAGGGTTACCAGATGTCATCTTATATTGAACAGTACATCAGTAGGGGACCAGAGGTCACCTTATATTATACAGTACATCTGTAGGGGACAAGAGGTCACCATATATTGTACAGTACATCAGTAGGGGGCCAGGGGTTACCTTATATTGTACGTTAGTATGGGGGTAGAAGTCACCTTGTACATATACGATGGTTAAGGAAATTATGTCCTCGGTGCTCGGAAAGAAACAAAAGACGCTTTCAATAATTTAGTCATAATGATTTAACCTAATATTATCTTTTAATTAAAACACATGTCAGTAACATTTTTAATCCAATTTCTGTATGTTTTTGGAACTCTTTTTTGGGGTATGACCCTTTGTATACTGGAGTTTGGACGCTGTCTTAAAAAATCTAATGTAGTGGATTCCTGATTCTTATTATACTTTCCCTTTCTTTTTCTTTTATAAAATTACTTTCTAGATTCCTCCAGGATTAAATGGCCTCTCGAAAACGAATATGAACAACAAGACCACTAATATTTAAGAAAATTGCATACAAATCTCAACAAATGATCACTGATGGTGTCCCAGATAGCATGACTATGTTGGGCCAACATTTGTTAAGGTTTTATGGTTGGCGTTGGGGAACAACGTTGGGCCAACGTTGGAACAATATTACCAAGTCAACCTTCTCGACCATGACGGAATTCCTATGTTGGCCCAACGTTTATCCAACGTAAGCAACTTCTATTCACTTTAATCTCCAAAGAAGGAAGGATCATGGCGTTGGCCCAACGTTGGACCAATGTTTATAATACACCCTTAAAGAAAGTGTATTTATA